AGACGGTAAAGATTGCGACTATTTCCGATAGCCGCAGGCTTCTCCATCTCTCTACACTTTCCTATCCACTACTTCTCGCGGTCATTCCTCAGACTGTTCATGACCTGGCGTTTGAGGGATTTGGGCGCTGTGTCATATGTGACATCCGGAGGCAGGGTTCTGCGGGCGTCCAGTAGGGCAACCGAGGTCATCGAGATCCATCGTTTGTGTTTCGAACCTGCGCCAGGGTTCGACGTTGTTTTTAATCATATTTGTATAGCTTCGTTGATTTGCTTTCAATGTTCATTGAATCCTTCGACTGGTCGTTGAACTGACAGGCGATCGGGGAGCTCCGCTTCAAAGGCCGATTTGCAACAATCGTTCACGTTGTATCGTGGGTATGCGTTGTCGGTGGCTTTTCTGCCGTTGCTTACCAGGCGTAGGGAGAATTTGACTCGTAACAAGGCGCGGTCTGCATCCACAGCTGTTGACCAGTAAGAGCGACAGTCTTGAATTGATCCTCTCCAGCGGTAACTGATGGCGATGTGATTGATTTGGGTCCAGCGTTGTGAAGAGGTTGGCGGTTTCCATGTAATGCAGTGACGTTTCTTGTGTGAGAATTTCGTGTCTGACAAGAACAATCCGAGGTCCAAGCAGAGTTGAAGTAGGCGATCCCCGTTGTCCGTCCGGTTAGCTGGGACTGCATGTAGTCCATCCAGAAGCCTTTCTGATTCGTCCAGGGATCCCACTTGAGCATTGAAATTTCCGGCGACCACTACGATATCCGTTGATCGAGCACTTTGGAGTAGTTGAGAAAGAGCCTTGTAGAATTCATCCTTGATTTCAGGTTTACTGCAATCCGTCGGTGCCTACGCCGATACGACAAATAAGCACCGACGCTTTGTTCTGTAGATTTTGACCCGTGCTGAGCCGTTGAGACGTACAGCGCACAGACGGCTATTGACTGGAATGCAGTCAAGAAGCGAGCACTCCGCCTTGGCACTTAGCGCAATGCCGACACCAGCGACACCGAGAGCTTCGGATGCCGAATCGCCTGACACACGAAGGGCGAAGCGTGAGGTTGAGGTTGGATCAGGAGAACGCAGAGAGATAATGGAAGTGGGGTCTTGTATGCGTGTTTCGGAGACCCAGCATACATCTCAATTTAAATTTTCGAGGGTTCTAGTTGAGGGGGCTTGTTGACCGATCTGATAGATTATGCGGACATTGAACGCGGCTAAGTGAGAAGGCGATTTGGGCTTTAAAAATTCTAATACTTCTGATTGTCTAACCTTGCTTGTAAAACGCTGAATGATATTAGATGGGTGGCGTAAACAGCAGGTGTTTGGGATTACTCGGGATTGAGAGGAAGAACTAGACAGATGAGGAAGATGGTTTTCCAAATGGGTGCCTAAGACTTTGGTGCACGACATACTCCGCGGTAGCCCACACCGACGAAGGGGTTTTTCTTTGGAACCTTAACCGGATCCTTTGACTCAAGAGTCTGATCCTCAAGGCAGTGGGGCGTAAATCCAACGCGGGAACGTGAGCGAAGCACCCGTGTGGGAGCTTCTAGAGAACTGTCACGCAAGGCCTTTGAATTTCGGTCAAGTTTGTTGTTTGCTGGTGCGTAGATTGTCAGTCCGCTATTCGGAATCGGCCCTTGGTCTCATCACACAATTAGACGAGAGGAACGTGGACGGGACAGCACCTTATTGGCTGGGGGCTGCCCAGATTGGGCGGGCAGTAGCTGTCCAATGAAGTGCAAATACTTCTCCCAGCGTCGTAAGTAAGCCCCAGGTATCCCGCTCCTACGTCCATCTAGCGGGGGCTTTTCGACCGGTAAACTGCCCCCGCCGTGTTTATTTGCTGGATTGGCCTCTCCAGGGGCGGGCGTGGATAGAAAAGGAAGCCATGAGGTGCCAAAGCAGTTGGCTTTGTGAGACTGAGCTTTGTCTGTCACAGACCACAGTAAATTCCTTGACGAAGTGAATGGCTTTTATAACCATTATCTTCACTGTACAGCGAAACAGTTTAGGGTAGGATGTATTCGATAAGGAAGGGATGTGTTTGTGTTGCGGTGGGGAAAAGAGAGTGAATCTCTCAATCTTTTCACTCTATTTCTATTCGGCTCCCGAAATGTGAAAACCACACGGAATCTCCATCGGACAGCTTCCAGTGGAAAGTACCAAGTCATTCAGTTCACGATGGATCAGACCGATGAGTGATTTTCCTTATCTTATCATTGTTAAATGTATTGAGAGCCTTTTTGGCAACGACAACAACAACGGAGCAATTTTTCATGCATCAGAAATTAAAAACAGGTTTGAAAGTTAGAAACCATAGTCTTTGCTAGCGAACGGAGATCCATTGAAGTAAAGAAAAACAGCTTACCAAATGTTATATAGGCTACATTGTCCCCAACAGCGGCATCGGTACCCTGAAGCTCGGCCGGTGGGGTACCCTGAGAATAAAGAACCTGGGGTGCACGGTCAATTCGACGTCGAACTTCTGTGAGTTCCTGCAAGATATAAAATATTAAGGGAATGCGAAGTGCACGTCAACTTGGACGACCAGTTGTGACTACACAAGGACAAGGACATGCGGTGATAAAAATCAACACGAGCGCCCCAGATGCAAAAAAACGCGCTGAAGGAAGAACCAGACAACTGCAAGCATATTAAGTGTGTTCGCGCATGTGTGTGAGGGGGAGAGAGAGAGAATAAAGCTAATCATTCACATTTACGTGAGACTCAGTTGAGGGAGTTGGATAGAAAAAGCGTTCGGACAGATGAAGTGCGTTAGAGAAAAAGTGTAAACGTCTACCTCTAGGAGGATACCTAGGGAATTTGTCAGTGTCGCTTTTTACTAAACCGTGGTCCTCGAAATTAAAACACCAACGAGTCAGCTCCTTAAACACTAAACAAAGCATTGTGTGTAGAGTAACGCACTGATTGAAATCCTACTGAGGCAAAGGTAAACCACGTGAATAATCGTGGGGATAGAAACCGGCGTTTTGCTAGTACCGTCCAGAATGTGCCCGTTCAGCATGTTATTGGAGCAAGTTTCAGGCAGTGAGCTCACTTGCAGACACCGATCCCCCAAATTGCGTTATTTATGGACCGGAACACTGAATGATAAATTGCAATTGTAGGAATGAGATCTGTAGTCCAATGCAGCTCTACATTCTAATGAAGTGAACCGACCTCAAGGTACGCTGCGTGTTTTTGGGCAGAAAGTCACGATAAAAATACGGTATACATAATGGTGTCCTCGCGGAATTGCGCGAGTGTTTGAAGACTACCGGATCAACTAGGTTAAATTCAAGATGGGGCACCCGTGCAGGTGCTTGATTATTACAGTGATTGACATGTTGTTAATCTTTTTCACTACAAAGATCGCAGTGTGCAATGAGTATAGAAAAAAAATTATAGTTGTGAAAACGTCTAGCTCTTCGACCAGCATAAGAGCCGGTGAATTAGGCTGTGTATTTGAGTAACTTATACAATGGACACCGGTTGATTCAGTTAACTATCCTCGTTCAAGTTCTTTTATCATTGATTAACTTGGCTGGTTTAGTAGATGCATACCTTAAAAGGTTCTCTTCTGTTTAGAAAATAAACTGAAAAAAGACAGAAGACAAAACCACCATTTCATGTGACAACAAATTGATCAAACAGAGGTTTGCTTCGATTTCTTACAGATGGATTTCACTCACACATAGAAGTTTATTGCGATCGATGGAGGAAGTGACACTAAGCCGAGACCGGTTATTACATGAAAGCAGACAATCTTAGAAAATACAGTAAAGAAAGTTTACATCTTTTCCCATCAATTCAGTTCTTAGAACCATTAGAACCATTAACCATGCACATTTGTGCGCNCGGTTTTGGTTGCTGTCCTTTGATGCCCCATGTACATAAAACAGCAAAATGATGATTAGAATGGTGAAAGCAGATTCACGCAGCAGATGGCGAGCAATTGATGATACAGGTGTTCTGTGCGGCTGGCTTGATGGACTGGTTGTTTCTGTAGCCCTCAATCTGATCCGTTCGCGCTCGACCCATACTGGTATACGTTCTGCCACTCGGGTAAGCAGCTGCCTCTCTTTTCTGCCCACTTAGATGGCTCCGCACCCGCATTGAAACTCACAGATTACGTGCGATTTGGCGGACAGAGGGTGTGGTGATTTCACCAAGGGCTTTGGAATCTGGGTTGTGGTGAAGCGAAATACGTGCGGGTTACCGATGCCACCAGCCGTCTTCGTACGATTTGGCCTACATTATCACCTCTGAACGGCAGTTGAAGGAGAACGTCGCATTTTGTTGGTGTCATCCTCGAGGTCTTGGGTTCGGCTTTTACACTCTAACTTCACCAATGACATCGTGTTCAAAGTTTTCAAATGCATGGTTATTTCCATGCGGCACAAGACTCGTTCCTCCTATGTTCTGGGTGTATTGGGCAACCGGTAGGAGTTGTACCTCTGACTCGGAGGGCTGTCGGCCCCTTTGGGGCATCCTCCGTTCTTTGGTCACCAGGCGCCCAGCTCTCACCTGTGGCTCCAAAAAGCCGTTTGGATGCAACAGCGGCCACACCCCCGTAAACCGCTCGAAAGGGGGGCCAAGCCAGGTTGAGGGTAACCGGGAGCTCAACTCCCGGTGAGTCAGTGTCTAATGTACGTGTTTGTCTGACGAAGTTGCTTTCACGACTCAACGGTCAAGGCAGTGACGGTTTATGGTCTCAATGTGCTGTTTTGTGAAAGCGGACTGTTGTCTCGGTGGCATTATTCGGTACCGTTATTCAAGATCAACCTGCTTTGTCGTTAGCCAACTGAGCGAATCCCGCGAGCGTGGGGGTAAACATTTTAGTCGGTCGAAAAATAAACTGCGCACGCGACTCTATCGAGTTAATCTTCTGCCTGATAATGTAGAGAGTGATCTGATTCGGCTCGCGCAAGCTCTAAAGCTCAGTGGTTACTCAGCGAGGTTTAAAGTCAAAGTCAAAGTTTTATTATGGGCGATTTAACAAGGATACAGCTTATCATGCCCCATAGGATTTTTACAGAATAATTTGAATAACTTCATAAAAAGAAAATTATAATAGTACCAATACGCATGATCACTCACGGATGTCGAAATTTTAAGTGTTCCAATGTTTTATCAAGTTGCGATTTAAATGGTTTAACTGTAGGAGCACATACTACATCGGATGGAAGAGAATTCCATACGCCACACACTGACTGCAAACTGGAACACTTACGCTTACAGGTGCCTGCCAAGCTGTCGTAAGTTGAATGCACATGACCGAACTGAATGTGGTCTTCTATGATCATAATCTCTTGTTAACTTCTCAAACCTAGCCGGATACTAATCTTATTTAGCTTCCTTGGTTCGCACAAATGCTGTTTTTCGTTAAAGTTCAAAGGGCGAATGACAGTTTAGCGGAGTATGTTGACTTATCGTGTGATGCGAACTGCAACTATTAATAAGTACATAAATTCCAAATTTTCCGTTTTGTAAAATGTACTTTATAAACATCACGGCAGGTGATGACTATAGGATTGCACATTAATTGTCCAACTTGGTCAACGGGTGAAAATGGCAAAATGGGTCTATTTTTACACAAATTTAGCAATTCGTGGATGAAAATAAGCAAATCAATGTCTTAAATGACATCTAGTTAAACTAACGAGATAAACATCAAAACAGTACTACTAACCTGTAGGAACACCTTGCCAATAATCACATCGTCGGGGTCTTTGAAAACGGTACTGAATATCACGGTGACACGGTCGGCCGACGCTTGAACATAACTATAAAGGACAGAACAGCAAAAATAAAATTGAGAAAAGCTTTTCTTTCTTTGATTGCGGGCGGTGCTAAACTGTTGCGATGAGACTGCACCTCGAACTGGCGTGAATGTTTGCGTGCGTATACGATACTGCAAGCTACACGGAATAGATTCTCACAACTATTTGCGGTTACCAAAGAAAAACCCGTTCGTCGTTGTGCACTACCGCTAATTATGTCTTAGGTACTCATTTGGAAAATCCTTCTTCTCATCAGTTTCGTCCTTCTTGTCAGTTGCAAAACAAACAGAATGATGCCACTCAGACGTTAACTAGTAAGGCAGCCCAATCAGAAACCTCTGGATCAAGGACACAAAACAGTTACCTTGCTCAAGCTTTATTGAAGTTCCACGGACTACAGTGATTGTCGTCTACTAGTATGTAATTAGGGGCAACGGTTTCCCTGACAGTTTACGATGATATCGCTTTATCCCCTCCCCTTAAAAAAACTCCCCTTATATGCCTATACGCAAGTTCAACTGACACAAAACAATAACATCTCTTCCTCAGTAGTAAACCGATTTTCTTTTCATCTAATCCTTTTTTCACCCCTTATTTCACATTCTCTTTGAGAACGTAAGTGTATTTTCGAAACCCCCAAAGGAAAACATGTACTAAAGAGCTACAAGGAAGTTTGATCCTTCGTGGCTACGGTTCTCAGGAAGCATCCACAAGGTTTGTACGCAGTGAGTAAAAAGTGTCAAGTGTACCGATGGTGTTCTTTTCGGTATACCCTTTCCAACAGGTAGCATTTTTCGCCGTCGCTATATATTTTTATTCGATTTATTTTCGCTTCAATGTTGTGTGAAGCATTTTCACGATCCTCTTGTGGTAATTTTCTGTGGTTCACAAATGGTATCGGCTAAATATCAATCGGCAGCATTTTAAATAACTCCGCTCGAGTCGGGATAAGATGAAGATACGGTGGTATTACGGTCTGCTAATGCAATAGCATCTGTTCTTCGAATCGCGAGAATATACATGTAGAACAAAAATAGTTGAATTAACCTAATTGACTTTGAAATCAGACGGCAACGCCCATAGCAGAAAACGAGAAGGATAAATGAACTCACAATATTTATCACGAGTGAACCCCCTGTAGGAATAGTTCACAGTCCATCAAGAACACTTTGCGCATCCTCCGTGCATTCAAACAGACAAATGATCTCGTCAGCGTACTCTAAGTTGCAAAGCTTTTCTCAAGATACTTATTCGATACAATACATTTGGAGATCACCTGGTGCGTACTCCAGTATTTTGTCTACAGCGAAGTTGAACAGAAATGACGAAATAAGACAACGTTGCCGAACACTGATGCTGGTTTCGAATGCATTGCTCAGCTCACCGTAGACCCCTACGCTACTAGAAGTATACAGGCACTGCGATCGCAATAGATTTACATACTTCTGTGGCATTTATTTGTGAAGCAGCAAACGTTTTAGGGTTTCTTGCTTTTACTTTTTTGAATTTTTGATCTACTAACTCCTGCGAGAGAATAAGTCGGCTTTTTGGATGTCTCTGATGATGGCGGCCCACGCATGACGGTCGGTAGCATGGTTGACGCAATGTGAAACCCAGTTCTGGTTCCATTCCATATACGGACTGGAGGCCCAGTAATTCCAAATCCGCCTTGCTCGGGTCTTCAGTTAAACACCGAGCCGGAAACGTCATCTACGGCACGGTGCGGAGGCTACAGCCTGTCGCGAGAGTTAAGTATCGGGCCTTTGGAGCACATGGCCAAACCACCGAAGGCGCCGGCGTTGTAGCATTTTTGAAGGCTGGTCAATGTTCAAGCAGCTCCGTCGAACCTCATCATTGTAAATCCGTCCTATCCAAATTTTCTTTCAAGATGCGGCGTAAGCACCAATGATCAAAGACTTCGAGCTTCCTTGTATCTTGTAATCTTACCGGCTAGNCAGTTGACCACTGAGTCGGCAACACCATCCACGGCACGGTGCGGGGGCTACAGCCTGTCACGAGAGTTAAGTGTCGGGCCTTTGGAGCACATAAACAAATCACTGAAGGCGCCGGCGTTGTACCATTTTTAAAAGCTTGTCGATGTTCAAGCAGCCCAGTCGAACCTCATCATTGGAAATCCGATCTCTCCAATTTTCTTTCAAGATGCGGCGTAAGCACCAATGATCAAAGACTTCGAGCTTCCTTGTATCTTGTAATCTTACCGGCTAGGTTTCGCAACCATAAGTGAGGATGGGGCGGATGGAAGCCTGATATACTATGAAGCTTAGTGTTTAAGCTAATTTCGCATCAATTCCACAAGGGTTTCAGGAGTTGTAGGAAGGCTCTTCAAGCTGCATCTACACGAAGTTGGATTTCATTCTTCGCCTGGCCGTTTGGACTTATCAAAGATCCCAGATACTTAAAAAATTCGGTTGATTCGACAAGTTCCCTGTTAATCGAGAGGGATTGTCATGGCAGAAGTTTCGGTCGAAAATGTTTTCGTTTCCGACGTGTTAATCTCTAGTCCAATGGCCTGGGCAAACTGATTTGTAAGATTGACAACAGGCTGGAGGTTGTCCATGGTGTCTCCAAGTACAAAGACATCATCCGCGAACTCGAGGTCAGCAATCCGTGTACCTGAGCCAAGATGCACTCCAGAGTAGTCGATGAGTGCCTGTCGCATTAATCAGTCTACTGTGTAATTGAATAACACCGGCGATAGGGGACAATCTTGCCTGACTCCAGAGCTTAGGGTAAACTCAATTGATTCTTCTCCATAGGTATGGACGCGAGCCAGGGTTCTTGAGTAGTATGACTTTAACAGCCTGATGAACTTCTCAGGCATCCCGTCGGGCCGCAATATGCACCACAAGGATTCTCTCTTGACAGAGTCGAACGCAACGCGGAAGTCAATGAAACATGCTGTGGTAGGCTGTTGGAACTTGTTCCAGTGTTCTAGAATCCTAAGGAGAGGGAAGATTTGTTCAACACAGCCTCTTCCGTGGCGACCCCCCCCCCCCTTGGTTCGGGCGAGTGCGGGTACTTCTGAAGACGCGCGAAGCGATTAAGTAGTATCACTGCAAACAATTTGGTCGCAATATCAATGAGGCTAATAGCCCTGTAATTTTTGCATCTAGACCTGTAGCCCTTTTTGGAACCGGGAATAAAATTGAAGCCGTCCAATCGTCTGGAAAAACTTCTCTTTCTCAAATGGCGAGGAAAAGAGTGCAGCGGACCGATGAGATTGGAAAGCAAGCTATGAATAATTCTGGTGGTATCCTGTCTTCTCCAGGGGCCTTCCTGCTTTTCAGAGAAGTTACTGCACTGATTATTTCTGTCGTACTAGGTGGGTCACAATTGATGTCGTAAGTCTCCGAACTGCTTGACACATGTAGAGGGACAGCTTGGTTTCATGGGCGGTTGAGCGGCCCGTCGAAGTGTTCAACCCACCTTTGCATTTTTTGCTGTTCCCTGAATAAGTTGGCCTGTGGTGCTTCGCCACGGTGGTTCCGATGTCTGCCTCTTTCCTGCTGCGACACGGATTAGACGGAATGGCTTTCCAAAGTCCGCTGCGACGGTTGCAGCCTCCATGCTGTCTGCAATCGCCTTCCAGTATTTTTAAGGTTCCTCTTGGAGGAGCGTGCGGCTTGGCGACGGAGAATACGAAACTAAAAAGAATTGATCAGCCAGGAATCTCTTACCTCTCTTGCGGCAAAAAATCTCACCTGACTGCGCCAGCGCCGCTTCTCTGATGGACGTTTTCCGCGAAAACTACAGAGGCATTAGTTTACTCCACGTGGTGGGCAAGGTTTTTGCACAACTTTTGTTGCTGCAACAAGGCAGGCATGCACTCATCGTACCAGAATGGATTCCGCCCTGATGTGGGCTGTGTCGACCAAATATTCACTCTACGCCGACTCTTGGAGCATGGCCACAAGTTTCAACAACCCACAGCAGTCTGATTCATTGATTTTCGTACGGCATTCGACTCCGTAGATCGCAACTCCCTCTGGAACATAATTCTGGCCGATAGTTTCCCAGTTAAACTTGTCAACTTAATGAGATCCTACTATTCTAACACTAGCGCCCGAATCAGCATCTACCGAGAGGAGTCATGCGCGTTTGGGTTAGGATTTGGAGTGCGACAGGGGTGCCCATTGTCTCGAATCCTGTTCAACTTTGCCGTTGATTGAATAAGGGGTCGTTCGATGGAGGGAGTTCGAATCTCTCCGAACGTATGGCTCACCGACTTAGAATTCGCGGAGGATACTGTTGTCTTTGGTGAGGACATGTCCAACGTCCAAGCAATCACTGACCGCATCAGTCGACAGGCCTTCGATATCGGCCTGGAGGTAAACACATCCAAAACCAAAACCCTTGCGACAGTCCCGATTCATTTCGAAAATGCTTTACAACTAAGTGGCGAGCCAATAGAATCCGTCGAAAGCTTCAAATACTTGGTCTCAACCCTACTCCCAACGGCCAAGCTAAAGACGAAGTGCACGTGCGCGTCGATGCTGTAAGAAGGGTGCTTTTACAGCTGAAGAATTCAATTTGGTGTATAAATGAAATCAGCCTTAAGACAAAAATCCGGGTTTTCTCCTGTCTAGCTATACGACTGTGAAACCTGGCCACTTAGAGTCGAAGACTGTCGCAGATTAGAAGTCTTCGATCACTGGTGCTTAAGGATCATTCTGGGAGGGATCAACTCTCAAATGAAGCAGTGAGAAATCGTTGTTTTGATCTTGTATGGTTGCGGACGCTAATACAACGGCGGCGTCTATAATGGTTTCGTCACATTCTTTGTAAGTCTGATAAAGACCTGACCAAAGCTGTCTTGGCACCGCTAACCTGCCCGAACTGGTGCTGTCGACACGGCTTGAAACGGTTCGAAAGGATATTGAAAACCTTGGTCTCCGTCCCGTCTACGGCGTTCGCCAGTGGAAGTCAAGCTAAATTACAACCTGCGCTGATCTTGCCGCAGATTGCCGCGCGTGGGCAGCGCTAATTCGGGATATCCATGAAGCCGGCTTATCCTCTCTCAGGAGCCAGTCGCCGTAAATTAAAGTAAAGTAAGTAGACCACTGTGCGTCGACAGTTGAGTCATCGGAGAAAGTTGCGGGTATGTTGGAAGCGATTGCGTCCAGCAACGCATACCTTCTCTCAGGTCGCTTCAAGAGCGCGACGTTGAATTTGCCCAGGAGACGAGTCTTCCGGCGAGCAGTCAAGTGGATCTTGAAGCGGGCGCGTACAAGGGTATGGTCAGTGCCGTACCTGTTTCCAGTTCCTGCACCGCGATAGGAACAGCAGTCTTCCACCGAAGAGGCCCGGCGATCAACTACCAAAGTATAATCAATCATTTTTTAATTACACACCTAGGTATGATGGACAGCAGACGGGGTAAACCCCATAGTCATGAGGACCTGCTGTTCAGTGGTTGAAATCGGTAACCTAAGCCCCGGAACTTGGAGTGGCGAACCACATAAGGCCCCGATAGGTTAGGAGTGGTATTGAACCGGACGACAACAGAGCTGTCTACCACCAAAGTCGGGTGGCGGTGGCGGGGTTCGAACCTCGGACCATAGGGTCCGAAGCACACCGGTGACAGCGACTAAACCACTGCGCCACCACTACATCTGGTGTGTTGTTCGACCATCATTTGAGTACCACGTAAGAAGGTGTTTTCTGGGGTGCTGAAAACGAATGTTGATCACGACAAGCCAGTTAAGGTTGGCAAATGGAACTGGACTCTCGCCATTTTTGCTACGTTCACCAGTGTCGAACTTTTCCAGAAAGTGCCGAGTATGTTCGCTTGATGGACCAGTGCGTGCATTCCGGTCTTCAGCGATAAGGAGAATCTCGCGTCTCGGACTGTGGTTCTCTGCTTCTTGAACCTGGTTGTAGAAGCCGTTTTTGATGGGCTCCGCCGCATGTAACGTCCGAGCATATATAGCAATGACTGTCAGGTTAAACGGCTTACCTCTGATGCACGCTATGACAATCCTGAGAGAGATTGGTTCCCAGGTGATCATAGCATTGCTGACCCGGACGTTCATGGCAACTGCTACCTCATGCAAACCGGAGTTATCAGTTGGACCGTTGTGATATAACCGGTAGGTTGCGTTGCTGTGGTAGGTTGATTAGTTTTTGTGCCACAATTAGGTAGTCGGACTTCGTACAGACAACAGATGTCTACCTTGTGGTCGTGCAGTGATCGCATTGTGATACACTGGCTTCCTGTCTCTAGCCATGTTCTAACATTCCAGCAGGCTACACGGAGGCTGGATCTGGTG